ACTGCTTGGAAACTTGGTAGAATGGTGAACCTGGCAATGTAAAGTTATAAGTAATTTTTTAATTGTAGTTTTCATTAGTGGGAATTAAGAGTATTTGGAAATTTTTTTTAGTTATATAATGCCATGTAAATTCTGCCTTAATCTCCTTCTTATGATACTTTGCTTACGATTGTTTTACTATTTAAACGTTAGATTTAAAACCTTTTTTATACTGCATTCTTATGTAACATTTTTAATTTTTATTTTTATAATTTTTACATCTTTTCTGATAGATGTGGAAGGGACTGCTGAAAGTGCAGGTGGTGATGGCACAATTGTAACATTAGAGGATGGCAGTGACAGTGAAAACATTCAGGCAAACGGAATTCCAGGGACTCCAATTTCTGTTGCTTATACACCATCTTTACCTGATGACAGATTATCTGTCTCTTCCAACGATACTCAGGTACAAGCAGTTATAAATTGGGAAATACTGAAAAAAGTAGTATGTTTTAAGTGTTGCCCAAAACTTGTGCAGAGAGTGTTTTAATAAAATTCCATAAAATAAGTTACTCAGATGAATTTCAAGATTAAGTCATCTTCTAAGCATTATTCACTTTTTAATGTACTATTTAAATGAAATTTTTCTAAGTAAATTTTGTATGTATGCCTTTTTTATCTTAGCATATTTTTAGCTGCCCCATAGAATACTGTTCCAAGATTAGAGAAATCAGTTCCCTGTTTTTTGAAGTGCTCCTGAGAAACTATAAAACTAGCATTCAATACACATAGTGAAGAATATAACCAATTATAGACATACTTGTATAACTTTAGTGTGCTCTTTTCAAATGATAAATAGAAATTTCAAGCCTATAGCATGACCTTACTGCAATGATTTCAGGTAAGTTTCATGTCTGAGAGGATTTGATTTTCATTAACAAAAAAGATGTGAAAATATACTCCCTCTGTCATATCAGATATCAGCATGTATGCGCTGTTAACCGACAGAGGGTAGCTGCAACAAAGAGTACTGAGTAATTTGGTTTGAAATAATAAATTTTAAGCGTAAAAAGCTATAGTCACATATGTCATACAATTAGAAGATTAAACATGTTGCTTATATAAGGAACATCAACACAGAATTGCAAGAACTTAGTAATAAGGATAATTATTGTACCACAGAAATTTTAGCAAATGTATCTTGCAATAGATATGGTAGCTACTTGCATTCTGTTAAAATGTCAAGGTTTTTTTTAAACTAGTTATCTACTGAAAATGTCTGAAGGCAATTCGCTGCCAAGTTACCTTACTTAAACTTGACCTACCTAATTTCATGACAGTCTTTAATTCTGACTTTTTACTGAGATGGCAGTTTTTATTAGTGAGTTTGTTCATTTTAACTGGACTGCAGAATATTTTGTTTTGTTTTAGTTTAGTCTTGAGACCGTAAAGCTATAGTGAATTGGTTATGTTTGTATAATATGTTAACTTGTTGTTGCTAGGAGGTGGGGATTTCCCTATACACCCTGCTAATGCAAAGTGGAATACTGAAATATGTTAACTTCTTTAGGAATCTGGAAATTCTTCAGGACCTACCCCTGGTGCTAAGTTTTCCCACATTTTACAAAAGGATGCCTTCCTTGTATTCAGGTCACTGTGTAAACTCTCCATGAAGCCCCTGTCAGATGGACCACCAGATCCAAAGTAAGTAGAATTAAGAGTTCTCATAATGAATCTTCTCTATTTGAAAATAAATAAGTCATTTAAATTTATTTTTGAGAGTCCTCAGTTCTCAATACAGTTATTGAGAAAATAATGGTGTGGTAAAAAGAACGTAGAAACTTTGAAAAAGTACTTTTATGTTTTAATACATCTTTTGTATGTTAAATGAAAGCAATTGCTGCTACTCATCTACCTGTTTAGAAGTTTCTTAACAATGCCTATGCTTTCTGTAAGTACATCATGTTCTTCCTAGTTGCTCTTTATAACACTTTTCAGAAGGGTTTGTAAAGAAGGTCTTCAGGTATTCTTGGTCTCAGCTAATGTTGCTCTGCTTTTAAGTAATACTTAGGTTTGTAACCATTGCTGTTTACGCACCACAATTCCTTACATCTCTTGCATATTCGGTATCCAGTAAGCATACCTAACTCTACTTCATCTTAATAAAAGCTCCTCAGTTTGAGCTGATACTGGTTATGATAAATTCATGACACAGTGTTTCATTCTTTTGCTTAGGCTGGACACTTGACAGCCTCCTTAATCAAACCACAAATGTTTTGAAAACAAAGTCTTCATTTGGCTGTTTCAGAAATCTTGTCCTTTGAAGATACCATGTTTTCAGTTTGGCTCAGAGAATTGTTCATTGTAAACAAAAAAAAAAAAAAATACTGTCCTCTATAGATGGGTGTGTTGGCAAATAACTTTGCTTTTCTGATCTTGGATAGAACTTATATGCATATTTTTTTGCACATTAGGAACAGTTGGTAATAATTTTCAAGAGGGATGCGTTTTTTGTTCCTAAGATATTAAAACTGTAGTATGACTTCTGATGACAGTCAAAGGCCCAGTATTATTCAAAATAAAATCAGCTTTACTGTTCCAAGGTCTAACTGTTAAAGCAAGTAACTTTAAGACTGTTTAATGTAATCACTGATACGTGTCGTGGATTTAATGGGGTGAAAAAAATATGATGTAGTAGAAACGATTTTGAAGGGTTAGTCTAGAACCATTTTCAAATTGTTATCTAGTGATGCACTATGGAAAGTCAGGACGTTCAAGAATGAAGACTGAGGCATAAGGTTTTTTTGTCACTGGTTTTGAGAATTTGTATTCCAGGAAATGCCATGAAAATGCTGTGGTTTTAGTCAGTTCTCTGAGACTAAGACTGTCCACTTATTGAGGGCTTTAATGGATTAACTCGCTCTGGAAGAGCAGCAATAGCTATTGGGCACTTGGAGCATCTCATCAGAATCCATGGAGTCCTTGATGTTTGTATTAGAACTGATAAGCTCTTCAGATAGAACAAATTGGAGGAAATGGCATTTAGGGCAACAAGAATTAGCTGCAAAGGCATTCAAAGACATCCTGTGTTTGGAGAAGTGCCTAGAATTTATTGGTGGTTCTGAGGCATTGATGGCTTTTTGAACTAATGCAAACATACTGTAATTGGAAGAGGAGGCGTAGGATATCTACAGCATTTTAAAAAAGGTCTTATCTGCCTCATTAAAAATCATCTTTCCAGTGAAATTAGCTATGAAGTCTGTAATGAAAATATTTCTAATTTTTAGGTAACCTGACATGGAACTTTGGCTTAAATTCACAAGGCTGGGAGTTGAGATCAAAGTTATGCTTCCTGGGAACCTGCTTAATGTCTTTATCTCCTTTTTCCCTGGAATAAAATAAGATGGGGGAGAAATGTCTTGAAGGTTCACTTACTAGATTTTAGTCCTTAAACTTGTTTTAAATTAAGTGGGCTTTACACATCATACAGAATTGGGAAGGCCAGCAAGTTAGGACTTCAGTTGTGAAGCTGAAACTTGCTGAAGTAGGCAATATTTAATATTTCATTTACTATTGAAATTCTTTTCATATTTAAATTCTTACATTTCATAGCAAAGTGTGGTCTGATCATGTGCTGTCTGCACACTTGATACAACGTCATGCAAAAATCAAGCCTTCTGCATCAAAGGAAATTGTTATGTTAGGTTCCATGCAGCTGTGCAGTGTCCAGAGCAAGGCATTTTCTTGAAGAACTCCTAGAGAGAGCTGTTTTGGGGCATTTACTTTGACCTGCAGCCCATTAAGAGGAATGGAAGGAACAAGTTCCTCACTCAATTTGACTGGCTATGTTTTACTTCTCAAAAGAGTCTTCAGACAAACAGTCTGAGCTTGGGATTATTGATTATTATTGATTATTATTGATTCCCCCCCATCCCACGTTGTTTGCCAGCATGCAGAAATCATTGAATTTATTTGCAACATACTTGTTACTAATTTGCATTTTTATTTTTAGCTAGAAGGTAATTACTTTTTTTTTTTTTTTTCACCATTAAGCTCGTATTTTTGCAGTATACAGCAAATATCCAAGTATTGTGTGTGTCACGTGTTGACTTGAAGTGCTCCTTACCATGTCTGGGCTGTACTGTATGAAAAATCTCCTGTCATTGTTCCTTATCTTTCATAACTGTCCTCTGTCAGTGGGTGGTTGTTCAATGAAAGCTGTGGACTGTCTTGTTGGGAAAGCCATTTGTGTCTATACCTGCTCTTCAGAAGAGCTGTAGTCTTTTTTGAGATGATCAGAAGTGGGAAGGAGCATCAGGAGTCTGAGGAGAGAATGCTTTCACCCAGAATGCTATTTAAATTGCATTATATTTTCATAGATGCAGATTTCCTTTACACTTTTTTGTGTGTGTGGTTTGGGGGGGGGGGGGGGC